TTTTTTTCCAAATATTTCAACTTTACAAACACTCTCCTGTAAAGTTTGGACAAAGTCGCTTAGTTATGTTTGCCTTTCAAGCGTCGATATGGTTTTTGCGCGGCCATATTTATGCATCTATTTAATTTGTGTTTTCTGTAAAATTTTCAATAAATAATAACGTACACAACAAAGCAAAATGATGTCATTTAGTCCATCAACCAATACATATTATAAAAATAGAACTCCGATTCAAATTGACGGCAAATCTATCCCTAAAGATAACCAAAATCTTAAATAATTCCAAAAAAAAAGAAAATTCACTTCCAAAGTAGAACCGACGATGTGGAAAATTCATCGGACGAGGAAAACGATAAAAATTCTTTCGTAGAAAATTCTGAGGAACATTTTCGTACACAGTTAGAGGAAATGGAACTAATATAACTTTCTTAACAACATTCTTAATTACAATAAGTTACCGGACATTTATATAAAAGAGTTAAGTGGCCGATTTCTAATAGACACAGGCGCATCACAATCACTTATATCACCGAGAACATTTAGTCAAAAAAATAAATAACTGTATAATTAAAAAGGAAACCAACACACAAAAGCATGCGCCAACTAAGCACAAAAAAGTAGCAATAATTAATTAACTAGAAAAGATATACAAACAAGAAATAATGCACAAATTTTTAATTTTTGATTTTGATCCAGGTTTTAGGTCTTTTTGGGTTAGATCTCTTAGTGCCGTTAAACTCCAAAGATATAAAAAACATGGTACTATGCAGAAAAAATACTAAAATACCAATAAGACGATATAAAATCTTATTCAAAAATAAAACCGAAAAATGAACTAGTAATCAATTTAATATATAAAGAAGGTGATTACTTACTTAAAGAAATAATAACCAAGACCAATTACTTATTTTTCCTTCAGCATTAGTGTCAGTGAAAGAAGGAAGAATGGTAACAACGGTAATAAACACAACGGACAGAGAACTAATTTTTATAAACAGCAACAAAGTACCATTGCAGAAAATAAATTCAAAAAATTCGACTAAGCCAAATTCACAAAATACAATAAGAAAAAACAAAATAAAAAAAGTTACGAATTGATCACATGAATGAGGAAGAAAAGCGTGAAATAAATAAATTATGCTATTGTTGCGGACAGCATTAGACCCACACACGGGTAAGCCCTCGCGCCCCTTCGGGGCATGAAGTGGCAATAGGGGTGCAATATCATGTAAAGAAAAAAAACGTCGTGTGATTGTCATAGGACCCCGCCCATGGAGACGGAGCGCGGTAAGCCCCCGTCAAAGCTAAGCCCCTCCAAGCTCGCATATGAATTGTGCACTGCGGGGCGACGTACCAAGCTACCACCACAGACCGACTGACCAGACTCTTACGCGACGTTATTCAAGTTTTCATAGTTTTGTAGTGTACTTATTTACGTATTTATTTATCATTACATTTATTACACTACATTTATTCTCCGAGTTCCTCACTAAACCTCGTCACAGCACACTCCTGGCGGCCAGAGATTACTTCGGTGTTTCTTCATGTTAGACCCGTGATGGCTATATCTATATTAAAACTGCTGATGGCACGAGGCACAAGATTGAGACATTGACAGTTCCAGAAACTGCAAATAAGTCATCCCAAAACACCTGTTTAGTATGTGTTTATCATTTGTTGTCAATTGACTTGTATCCAATGGCATACATTTTTTCCTTACTTTCTTGTTTGTAGGTCTTTCAATATTTTTATTATTAACTATATTTTTCATTACGTGTTGATAACCAAATGTCAAATCGTGCTTTTGTGTCATCTGACATTTAAAATCATAACACAAAATTCTCACATTTAATACATACACCCGACAAACAGATAAACATTTTATATACGGATGACGTGAGCGCGCTACTGAGGCACAGCGCCACGCGCGACGCGGACTCAAATCGTCCGAACTGCAAATCATGCGAAGCGCTGCGCCGGCAGACCGACCACTCGCCACGCGATGCTACACTGTGCTGACACCTCGTTCGTTCGCTCTCTCGCCCGCCATTTTGTCTACGTGTTTTCTTTGTTTACATTATTTGTATCGTTTTGTGTTTGTCTATAATTTGTGTACGCTTACGTTATATCGTATATCTTGTAAAGTGCACAAATAAACTGCATAGTGGTTTACCGCTAAAGTTTTTTATATTGTTCTTTTACATAATTTGTTATTATCAGTTCTTAATACATTGTTTGTGCCGGAACCAGCTTTTATTTAAATACAGTCCACTAGTAGATACAGTTTTGAACACCAACAGCTATAGTTATAACTATCGGGACGTTTTCTACTGCGAACAGTTACCATTGACATTTACATGCGAAATTAAACATAAATTAAAAATGACAGATAACAAGCCGATATTTGTGAGAAATTATAGTCGTGCACCAATACAAAGGAGATTAAAAGACAAGTAGATTAACTATTACCACAAACATTATTAGAGAAAGTAACTCTCTGTGGGCTGGTCCGGTACACTTGGTACCGAAGAAAATAGACGCTTCGGGAAAACAAAAATGGAGACTGGTAATAGACTATCGGAAACTAAATGACAAAACAGCGGAGGACAAGTATCCACTGCCCAATATATACGACATACTAGATAAGTTAGGCAGAGCACAATATTTTACCACTCTTGATTTAGCTTCGGGTTATCACCAAGTAGAAATAAACATAGAAGATATGGAAAATGCGCATCAATTGGAAGACATCCAGCAGCAGCCCTTGCGTTCATCGGTTAGCCTCTCTTAAGGGGGGAGAAGTCATGTAGGCATAACCTAAAAATAGACAAAGAGACATTCACAAGCATGTCACATTAAAGACCCATTAAGTACAACTTTCTTAATAGCTTGAGATAACATAATAATAGGAAACATAATAAATTAATTAATGAACGTATTGCCATGCCACATCCATTATACAATGTCTCGATGCAACGTAATAATAGTATTAGTTTGTATACACAATGTTTCGTAGCTACCCGCATTTAGTAAATGTATATGCATAAGTAACCTTAAGTAAATTGTAAATTTTTATTAAGGTAAATAAAGATTCTTAACCTTAGGTATATCTGATTTATTTATGGCGTTAATGCCTGAAGTATCAAAATTGATACCTGTTTTTTTTTTAAATAAATGTGTAAAATAAATAGTGATTTTTAAGCTATATTTCTCTTCCTCTACACCCTCAAGCAAACATAGTAATATTAAAAATAAATCACTTTCGTAAATCAGGCTACTAAGGGTTAAAATTTCAAGTGAATAGTGATTATTTAAGTGTTGCCAACATATAATATTAATTAGATGAACAATGGTAATTTTTAGCTCATGAGCGGGCAACCCCGAATGGGTTCGTATGCGTCAGTGCTACCAACCCTACTGTTTTCACATTGATTTCAATGTTTTCCGTTTCATTCCTATTTTCTACTGTTTTAAACTAGCCATCAGAGCCACCTATTGTCCCATCACATTACATTTTTTTAAAAACCACTACGTTGTAAAACGTATTGACACCAGATGGCAGTGCCTAGTCGGGATTCGGGGGAATCCCCGACCACACTATATGTGTTTGTAAATCATTTCCCAAAGATTTCTTCAAATAACATAACGGAACTGGATAGAGAATGGCGAATGTTGAGAAATGTCGATTTTTCTTTCAACCAAAACAAAACTCCCGATATTATCGACTTTTGGAAACATGTAGAAGAATTAAGAAATGGAGACGAATCTCAAACATTTTGTGAATTGGTAAAAAAGCTTTTGTGTCTACCACATAGCAGCGCCGCCGTAGAAAGGTTATTTTCTGCTATAAATATTATGAAAACCAAATTACGCAATAGAATATCAACTAAAGCTATTAAAGGAATACACACTATATCCGAAATAATAATTGTTATTCATTTGAAGCCACAGAAAGGCACATGAAGAAATTTAACAAAAATATGTATGATTTTAAAAATAAAAATGAGTGTGAAAATATTTAAGATGAGGCAATTGAAAATAAAACTAAAAAATAATTTTACTTTGATTTTTGTTGTTGTGATCATAAACATATCAATGTATGTCAGATCTAGTAATTAACACTTTGAGACCAGGAGACCAATATATAATATTATATGTGTACACAATTGTACACATATAATATTATATAAAAATATATGTAAGTCTCAATTTCACATTATTTGCAACTAAAAACGGTTGTGTTCATTAGTTCACATACTTATGGCTGCTGGCACTATCCGTATCAACAGATTTGTAAAGCCATCATTGCTAAGAAACAAATGAACAAAAAACTGCGAGACTTTGCTCAAGAAATGACTAGCTATAATAAAGATGTAACTGTCAAATGGTTGGATAATAAGATTACCCATTTAGCATCTAATTTTGTTGCAATTGGTAAAAAGATTTAGTGAAGAGGTGGTGTAAAAAAGATAAGCACTTTATTGAAGTGGAACGTCCCGAAGTTGTAAGGAAGTACAATCATGCGATGGGAGGAGTAGATTTGCTAGATCAACTCATGAGTTACTATAGGACGTTTATAATATCAAAAAAATGGACCTTACGCATTTTATTCCATGCATCAGATTTAGCAGTAGTTCAAGCATACCGAGAATACTAAGTCGACAATGAGGAGCTTAACATACCTTAAAACAAACAACTGTCATTGCTTCACTTTCGGCGTCGGTTGGCTGAAAGTCTGGTGTTGTAAAATAAAATTCCGGTAAAAGAGGTCGTCCAAGTGGCAGTAGCCCAACTCTTCAAATTGTACCTAGAACAGGAGAGACACGCCCAGAAGCTGAAATAACTCGAGACGGTTTTGGGCATTTTCCTGCACACGATGAGGGGCTTGGGACACAGTGTAAAATAATGGGATGCTCGAGTAGAACCCGTATCAAATGCATAAAATGCAAGGTTCACTTACTTTATAATGTCAAGATCTCCCAAATACACACGACTACAATATGTAAGACAATAATAACCACGTAAATAATCCGCCTTCGGAGCTCATACCTCCGCCGCTCGTCACTCCGACATATAAATGAATATATAATATCGTTGAATACCCTTGTTGATGATAGAATTTTTAAAAGCCTTTTATGGTATTTTTATATTATTTTAATTTTATTATTTTTGTTAAATATAAGCTACTAATTTCTACCGAGGTAGATGTAAAAACAGTTGGTAGTTTTTAAGAGAAAAAATATAAAGTGAAATTTGAGGGTGGTCGGCATATATTACGTACGTCGACCGGCGAACGAACTGTGCGCACCCATTTTGTGAAAACTTGTGTTTTATTTTGCTGCACCGCCGCCATCCCTTACAACCCTATAGGATATCTGGTGTACAAAAAAAGTTTCAAATACTTAAACCTTCGTCAATTAATTAGGATAGTTTAGAGAACCTTTTTATAAGACAACCTTACTAACCGAAATCCCAATTGCCACTATTTTTCAGCCACATTAAAATCCAACATTTTAACTAACTTAAGCTCACCGCGTAGTAAAGGAGCAAACTGTAAAGATGAAAATAAGGCAGTAACTAACTTTAAAGATTTTTTAAATAATAAATATATGGAATACTGCAATAGCGAATTTGTTACAAATTGAAATCAAATTTTCTAAACGTTGTTGTAACGTTCGTGAATAGAATCAGTGTAAGATGTAAACATAGATTTGTATTGTCTCTATTGAACTTTTGTTTAATATGTTTTCTTTTAGATGCAAGAGTTTAATTTTTTAATGATGCCATTCCAGTTCACTGGGTCAAACGGAAGCCCTGTGTTCGAACCAGACATTAGCCAGTGCTGTTCCAGCGTTTTGCTCTGTGACGGGACTTTGCATAATCTATGGCAACGCTTCCGTCGACCCTTTTCAACCCAACCTCGGAAGGACGCGGAGCGAATTCTGTCAAGTTACAATTGTACCATATATTTAATACTAAATCGATGTGGAATATATGTAGGCTGCCTTGGTGTTGTGTAATTGCTTCTCTGGATATCTTCATGAGAAGATGGCAATATGTACCTAGCCATGAAGCCTGCCATATCTATCAGACACTAACTACTATTAAGCAGGAAGTGACTGAGTCCACTAAGGATTTTATAACTAAGATGTAATTCCTGGTGATCCATTACTCAGGGCGCCACCCTCGTTTGGACAACAGTCCCCTGGCCAAGGGGAAAATCAATTAAGCTATTTTATTTTATTCAAGTTACTTCCTGAGCCCAAGCACCTAGAGACCCAACAACTTGACATGATCTATCATTTTCTCCGTCTTGAGATAATGATACTTGTGACCTTTGAACAAAAAAATATTATTTGCAAATTCATTTCTTCACAAAGGAAAAGCTAAAATAGCGTGTAGTTTAAAAATATTTAACACGCCAGGTGTTAGATGTTGCTTGCAACAATAATTTAAAAAAGTGCGTAAATTGTCTATGACAGTTCAGTTCAAAGATTGTAATTCTATGAAACGTGGTTCTCGGACTCCGCAGTTTTAATAATTTACACAGGTAAAATCAGACAGTCCACGCCGACATTAGAAAGCTTGCGGAAGATACGATAGGAGAGAATACCATCCCTGAGAGTCTATCCAGTCTACTAAATGAAAATTTTCATTGTTATTAAGATTAACTTTGTATAAATTCTAGATGATTGCACTGACTTCCCACAATGGCTAAGATAGAACTCAAAGAATTAACGAAGAAAATGTGCAATTTCAAGGGTCAATTACCCATATTTATTTATTATTGCACGAAAAAACCATTATCCTCTGTAGCCGCTAAGGAATTGCAATTGCAAAAAAAAAACAATAAGTAAATGCTAAGATATGATAAATTGAGGATGAAAAGGGTCACACAGTCACAGTTCAGCTCTCAGTATTTAGTATAACCTTCAAATATTACACCAAAATAAAACGGGGATGCAATTAATTAAAGTAACGTAAAAAGGAACTCATTAATATAGCACAAGGATTACGCAACAAAAAGGATTCCGATTAAGGAAAAAACAAAGAAAATGAAAGAGATTTAACAATACAGCTGCTGGCGTCAGCGGAAGTCAAGAAGAAGATTAAGTAAATAAGTTTCACTGGCCATAGACTATCCGAAAAAATCTTTTGCTTCAATGCTTACCACCTTCCTACTATTATATTTAATGTCGAAATTGTTGTAGGTTTGGGCAACTTGCTAAGCAGTGTAACTCAAAATTCGTAGTTTCCGGTTTCCTCAGCCACATACATGTGAAAGTTGCAACATTCCTGATTTACAATCATCCTGTTTTCTTTGTAATTGTGGTAGACATATAGCTACAGCTTCTAAATGCCCAGAACACTTAAGACAAAAGTCAATCAAAATTATTATGTCAGATGGTTCAGTAATTGGGAGCAGTGGCCATTAAGATGTATAAATCTTGCAATAAAAATGCGAAAAATTAATTACGACTGGTGCAGATTGTAACTGTGACAATGTTAAGTTGTCAAATCTTAATAATCCCACTGAGCAAACAACAATGGTGAAAATAACTCATCATAGCCCTTCCCAAGGGGATAGAATGTTCTATGAATCCTGGGATTAACAATCCATGTCCAAATAACAAATATCTTCATCCAGGCACTATTGACAATTACCTAAAACGCACAATTTTTTCAACATTATCAACGGCAGTCTTAAAAGAATATACATAAACCAAATAACTATCTTTTTTCAAATTTCCAGATGCTAATGGATTCCTTAAAATATTCAAGCATAAATTTTAAAGTTTTCGTACTAACTTTCAACAAAACCAAAGTAGGTCGTGTATTAAGCGATCGAAGTGTTACCATCCGATACTTAACTCAAGAAACGGGTATTTCATATTCAACAATCTTTGAATATGAGAAAAGTCTCCGCATGATAGGTGCCATCAATCCCGACCATCAGAAACAAAATTGACAAGTTTTAAAGAGATTCTAAAAACTTTTTGTCTTGTTTCGTAACAATGGACAAAACATGGATCCCACTATTTTGATCTCGAGAAAAACAAAGCTATCATTGCAATGGAAACGGTCATCATTGACCCCCAAAAAGTTTCGTGCCATGGCAAGGTTATAGCCTCAATATTTTGGGACACAAAAGGAATATTGTTGATAATTATTTAAAGCGTGAAAACACTATTACAGGCCAATATTATGCAGCTTTAATTCCCAAGTTGAGGAATGCCATCGGGAGAGAAAATGGCGAGGCAACAATTTCATTCCACCGTGTGCTGCAGATATTAGTAACTAATGACAACATTAGGCCAAAGAATGTCAGTGTTAAACTTTACACTGTAATTCTTGTCATATTCTTAACTCAATTGATTTGTTTTTTTTTTTTTACTTTATACTAAAGTTGTGAGTAACGATCTTAACTACATAATAACAATGCATTTGCCGATTATGTTTTTCGAGAGTCAAGAATTTTTTTTTCACAAGGAATAAGGAAGTTAGAAACGCGTTATTATAAATGCATTGCATTGGAGGGAGATTATGTAGAAAAATAAAATATTATTATTTAAATCTTCGCATTTTTTAATGTTGATTCCAAGAATTTTTTGATTCGCCCTCGTAACAATGCATTTGTCGATTATGTCTTAGATGGTTCTATATATGTAGCTGTTAGTTATTCCGAATAGAATAAAATAAAGAACCACTTTCAGGCGATGACAATTTAAATATCACAGTTCGGCGCACTGTGTATAAACACACAAGTAGAGCTGCAGTGAGAGAGACGTTCATAGAAAAAATGCTAATAAATCTCTCAACCTACTTGGAGTAGTAGAAATAGTAAACAGTCGATTCAAACGAGATTTCAAACTGCTCTGACGAGATTTAACATACAATTATATTCCCCGATTTCACATTTTCCGCCTCGGCATTGTTCGGAAAATCCCCACAGAATGGACATTGGAGGAACTCCTTTCTGCAATTTTAATCCTACCCAAATATTATATTAAAATCTAGTTGAAGCTAGAAGGTTTAATATAAATTTCATTAATTACATTGTGCGTGCTTGTGCAAGCTTCAACAACATATGTAAGCAGCACTAATTAGATCCACTCGTAACGACTGTGTCCATGGCAAGAAGGCGCTTAGCTCTTGACTTTTTTACTTAAATATCAACTGTTACTGGTAATATTTTGTATCTATTTTACATAGTTAAATGTTTTATAGCTAGCTGTAGTACTTGTTGTTTGTTTCTGCTACAAGACTGTTATAAGTGAAAACTTTTTATTGGCCCACAGTTATCTATTTTATAGTTACCTGCGTTAATTTAGGCTGCAAGTTTTCCAAATGTTAAATAAATAAATCAAGAAGAGAAGACACCACTACGTGGGTCTCGTCAACTACCGTTGTGATAACTTTAACTAGCAAAACACTACCCGAAAAAATCTTTTGCTTCAATGCTTCACTCCCAGTGTCGTTTTACCATCTTCCTACTATTCAATGTCGAAATTGTCGTAGGTTTGGGCAAGTTGCTAAGCAATGTAAGTCAAAATTCGCTGCTTCCGGTTTCCTCAGCCACATACATGTGAAAGTTGCAACATTCCTGATTTACAATCATCCTGTTTTCTTTGTAATTGTGGTAGACATATAGCTACAGATTCTAAATGCCCAGAACACTTAAGACAGAAGTCAATCAAAATTATTATGTCAGATGGTTCAGTAATTGGGAGCAGTGGCCATTAAGATATACAAATCTTACAATAAAAAAGGAAAAAAAAGATTCAAAACAAACAAATTCAACATGGTGAAAATTTTCAATCTTCAGATTGTAACTGTGGCAATGTTTTGTCAAATCTTAACAATCCCACTGAGCAAATAACAATGTTGAAAATAACAATTGATTTGTTTTTTTTTTCTTTATAAAGTTGTGCATAACGATGTTAGTGAAATCTCAATGCATTTTCATAATACGTATCTAATTATACATATGTAGCTGTTAGTTATTCCGAATAAAATAAAAAAGAACCTCTTCCAGGTGATGCCAATTTGATTGCCACAGTTCGGCGCACTGTGTACAAAACACATGTAGAGACGTTCATAGAAGAAATGCTAATAACTCTAACTACTTTGGGCAGAAACAGTAAACGGTCGATTCAAACGAGATTTCAAACTGCTGTGACTTTGGCAGCAGCAGCTTGGACTTTGGCAGTGGCAGATTTGATAAACAAATTTTATTCAGCTATACAAAAAAGCACTAGCACAATAACTTCAATTGTCCAATAAGATGTATTTACCACTATTGTGTAAGAAGACAGGCACACTTTCAAACTTGGGAAAACATTAGATAAATTCCTTAAGAAAAAAGAAATGTAACACGAACATTAAAAGTCACAGCGTCTTCACGATTTAAATTCATGATTCATGATTTAAACCATGTGTGACGAAAGGCATGTAGGCGTAGCTTACAAGTAGCCTATAAAACCTTCAAAAGCGCATTACATATGACCTTAATAAAGCTATCGCAATAACATCCTTAATGTTTAACGATAAGTAGAGAATGAAAACTCTTTTTTTATATTGTAGGGAACCTACATAAGGTAAAAGCCGGTTAGTTGGCTCAGAGGCTCAGAGTAGTTGAGAAGGTCAGATAACTGCAACGGGTAAGTTAGCAACTGTAGTAAATCCAATCTTGCTAGCCCTGTATTCACGCACATCTAGCCGAAACAAATACACCGACTTCAGGTGATTCAGAATTGATTCTTGCGCAGAGCGTCGGGGGCCCCGTGGTACATGCGCAATAGTGATCTTCACATAGACTTGGACTTACCCACCATAGCCCAACCTGAAGCTGGCGTCGCGTCGTTATTTTGACTTTGTCGTCGGTCATCCTAATACGTTAGTTGTAGGCCGCCACCTACAACCCAATCGCGTTCGGTAATTTTCGACGTGATCATCGCAGACCTAGGCACGTTCTTGATTTCCAAGACAATGCAATAACAATAGCTCAGGCTAGGATTAAACAACTACGCAAACAGATAACACGTCTTAGTCGCAGTCGACTACGGAAATCGTTGCCACAATACGGCCTCATAGCAGGCAGGTTTTCTCCTATCAATGATGGCAGCGTTGCTGGAGTTTCTTCCGCCACTTCTCCCAGCGCTAACGCTTTCCGAAGCGGTAGTAATGTTAGATGTATTAATAATAATAATAGTAATCAGAGGCAGCAACCTTTCAAGTCGAGGTTCGGCCCTCGAGCTTAGTTACTCATAAACGAAGTTTAGGTTAAGCGCCATCTGCGCTCGGCCACCTCAAGCCCGGTGAAGCTGTTAATGCCACTTTAAGGCAGTGGCCATTCAGTCACAAAAAAATTCAAACGTTCTGACACCTTGGAAGAATGCACGATAGTATTTTTGATCCTAGTTAATTGAAGAAATTAACTTAATTCAAACAGAAATAAATTTCAACTAAGCTAAGTTAAACCCAGTATAAAAACGATAATTTGGGAAAAAGCTATTTCTGTAAAAGCATATAGTACCAATGGGTCCTGAATCCTGGAGGTACCATTAGTATCCAAACACCCTCACAACCTTCTACATCTTTACTCCATCCCTAACAAGAATACAATCATTAAATACGAAAAATCCATGCCTTGTCTTGGGAAATAACGGATTTGCATATCCCCATTAGCCCTGCGAGGGCATATCAGATTCAGAGGTAATCAGAAAGATCTACACGGCGGTTGTGGAGCAGGTGATCATGTACGCGGCTACTGCATGGTCGCCGACAGAGAAACTGTCAGTCAAACGAAGGCTCGACAAAATACAGAGAGAATTCATGATCAAAATAATCAAATGATATAGAACAGTCTTATGCCACGCATCATAGACCTCTTTGAGCTTTTGCCTTCACCCACAACTGTGTTCTTTTTCATTCCGACCATTGACTTTTACCATTATCTAAAATAGACAGAATCCTTAGGAAATAATTATTTTTTTTTTATAACACTAGGTGGCAAACGAGCAAGCGGCCACCTGAAACCGACAAAATGGCGAAGCGACCGCTGCCCATAGACATCCGCAATTGCAGATGCGTTGCCTACCCTTATACGACGGAGGAGGAGACGCACATAAAGAGAACATTTCCCCTTCCTATGCATCTCCTCCACCGTCAAATCCACTTGCTCTTCCCAACCTCTCCTTAAAAGAAAAGGGTGGTAAAGAGAAAGGGACTTAAATTAGGCCTCCTTTAGGCTTAAATTAGTCAATATATCATATTGTAGAATTAATCAAACAGTAATACCGTCATTTAAATATGGCTGCTTGGAAATTTTTGTCAACACTACAAATCAAATCAGTAATCAACTTTAAACAAATGAAAAAAAGTATTTTATAAAACATATTCCATACCAATGACAAGAGAATAAGAACTTCATGATATAGAAATCTATAAGTTGCCAGCAACCATTAGTAAAGTAGACAATAAAAAAAAACTCAAAAAGTACCATCGCAATGAAGTCTCTTAATTGTTTTTGTAATATCTAGATCCAGTCAAACAAAATGTCATTCTGTAGAACATATTAATAAGATTTTGTTTTCCTTAATAAATAAAACATAAAATACCCTATACTCAATTTTCTACCTCAATGAACATTATTGGAGTGAGAAATTGCAGTCTGTATAAAAAGATACCAAAATGCACACAACGGCATCATTCAATCTGTGTATTGGAATAATTGATGGCAATATAATAGGATCGCCTGCGAGTCGAACGACTCTAGCTCGCGCAGGTCCAGCTCTACGGCGTCTCGCCAGCGGTTCGACTGGCAGGCGACAACGCAGGACAGACGACGCTGGCGCTCTCTCGTGTCGGAGGCCAAGACCCACTTTAGGTCGCTGCGCCAACGCAGTAAGTAATATAATAGGATGATGTTTAGTGACATCAGAAAATTATTGACAAAATGTCTCTTAAAAATCTAGCAAATATTTAAGGATCTCTTAATAACAGTCAAACAACAAAATGTAATTATAGGACTACTCCACACAACCCAATGTTAAAACTCAAAGCAGTCAATATTTTAGAAGTAACTTGAAGTGGTTTCTCAAGTTTAGTAGCTTTACAAATAGGCACTATAATTTCTTTTAAATAATGCACTAAGACAGGAAAGTCTTGCTACCTATGCTTCAACCACTGTTTAGTCACTTTGCACTTTTTGTAATTTAAACATTATCTTGTTAACTACAGAACACTCTTATGTAAAAAAGAGACCATAAACATATTCAAATTGGCTAATATAATTGTTTAACACAGCACCTTTCTTTTGTCTTTTAAGACACAGGAAAATTGAGTCAAGGAGAAAGCTCCCATGAATTACAAATATGGGTAACACTAAGCATTTCTTTGCAAGAATATTTGCTTGCTAACATATTAAAAACATCTTAAACTTTATATGAACGAACATACAACAAAACTTTAAATATTTTTTAACAAAAATGTGTGGAACACCTTCAAATTTCAATCTTTCTTTTGAAATCTTGTTTTATTTACATAAAAAACATTTTATAAAACTGTTTTCACCTCAGAATATTTTCAACTTTTATTTCTTTTGTCTATTATTACAAAAGCTATTGAAATCCCAAAAAAAAACACAATAACAAAATGTTATCCTAGACAAACAAGACAATCAACTGATGGCACAGCTGCAAACCAAGCTGAAATACTAGCTAAAGGATTTATTGTTCTATACTGAACCTCATGGTACTGAATGTACAGTTTAAAGTCTTTACATTTAAGAGGATAAATGTACATTGTTTCTGGTGAAAATGGCTGCCCAATAAGGCATGTTTTAATACATTCCCCCAAAAGATATCTACACACATCCTGCATCACAGAGAAAACGAGAAACCAAAATTCACAACTATGCCCAGACCAACTTTCAAAACCAAAGAAAATTTAAGACTAAATCCACCATCCAATTAGTGGTACTACATACAAAACTTGTGCCATCCAAAGACAAACAATTCATAGATGGTTCAAGGTTCTTTCAAAAATATAAATACACATTTTGTAAGAGATCAAAGATTCCAAACTTTCAATAAATTGACACAACGATATAAAATATCCCAACTGTTAAAAGAAAATGCCATAACAATGGCGGAAGGCGTTGGCTTTGCAAAGGGATTGAGCACATTGAGAAATAACATTCTTTGAAAACTATGGAATAAACCAACGTCAAACTAATGGATCTGAATATGTTCAGATTTCAAATAGTATTTGCCATTTGCAATTTCTAATATATTATCAAAGTCTAAAAACCTTAACACTGCTTAAACTTAAAAAAAACTTAACATCTACCACTCGTCATTGAAAGACTGATACTAGTTTGGGCAGTGTTGCCAACGAGTTTGTACATCAAAGAGTAAAAAAAGGTTTACCAGTTTTTACTATACTAGATTGGATAAATGACCACAGTGAAGCCAAACCAAAGCCTTCGACATCCTGGAGCATGAGATGCTGATCCGAGCACTGGAGGAGTGTGAGATTGATGTTAAACCTGTGGTCCCGCAAGTACATGAGCGATCTTGACGAGATCAAAACCCTCGTCAACAGGATGTCAACAATATAGTAAAATGGTCTAATGATAATGGTATTGTTCTTAATGGACAAAAACAAACATGCTTATAGTAAGGCCACCATATATGTATGTACATAAGATTTCTTGTACCGTAATAACACACTCGTATAGTTGTTTTTACAAAAATAGTTTCAAGTGAGACCATTAAAGTAGATGAATATTTTTAATGGTCAGAACATATCGATTATGCATGTAACAAATTAAGAAAATTTACAATTAAGATTTTTAATTTTATTCGTCAATAGTAAAATTAACCAAAAATGTAAAAGCAATTATTATAAACTGTTTAAGATATGCAAGACATTACCGGAAAGTCTAAACACAAACATATCTTTCTGTTACTAATGATAGTCACAAAAACTTGAATAATTTAACTATTACACAAGCACAACACCAACACAGCATTAGGGCAGCTTCTCGTGGCAAATACATAGTAACCACAATAAATAATCATTACGGCGAGAGAACAATAGGAAAACCTCTACCATACATTTTCAATATCTTACCACCTGAAATCGTAAACGTGAATTAAAAAATTTAAATTGTTAATAAAACGTTTGGATAGCCCATGATTATATGTATTATATTGTAAATACAATTATTATGTACCGCCTGTAATCAGAAAACATAAAGCTTACATACTCTTTGACAAACATAGACAATTCCATTTGGATATGTCATCTGTGGTTCTGTTCGGCTATCTGTCTTTTATCTATTATTGAATTTTTGTCCATTTTCGTAAAATTGTTCGGTTTTGCATATTTTGTTCGATTCATTAAAATGGTTAAGAAACTAACATACGTCGTTAGAAATGTTTCTTTCCTTTTGATTTTGAAAAACACCATAAGCGACCTGTAATAGCTGGACGTGGATTTAAATAAAAATAAGTAATGCCGTCGAAGGCAACATTCAACATTTATCTTTCAAAAAGCAAGTTGTTGTTATACTTAAATAAGGTTGCATTTATTGATCACTTCTTCTAATATCTTTTCTTGTTCTTGTTGTTTCTATATTGGTTTGCGTTGCCTTTGTCTTCTATGATTTTTATCTAGCATTCAGTGCGTCTTGTCTTGATTGAACGTAGGCAAAGTTTTCGCAAATATGACAGTGTATGGGCAGCGGTCACGAAGCTATTTTAGCAAATCCCAGTGGCCACTTGCTCGTTTGTCAATTACCTATATTCAGATGTAATCTATTGATTAGAATTCAAAATGTATTTTGATGTTTGTTGTTAAAATCAATTGCGATATAAAATTTGAAAATAAAAAAGAAAGGAGTTGATAATTCTCCATATATTCATTATCGCTAGTTCTTGCTACATCTCAGTAAAGTATTGGAAATGTTTGACTGAAGATGTCATACCATAAATGTTTTTGATTCTCCGATCCAAAGTAACAGGATTAATTAGTAGACCTCCACAGCTTTTTCTTCTTTGATGTCTGTTGTTGAGTAAGTGTCGCCCGGAAGCTTGTGTTGCCGCAGGCAATTGTATTTTGTCTATTGTTGGAAGCTTTAGCAGTTTGGTAATTTATAGATTATTGTTTACTAAATGAACTATTAATATATTTTACATTTTAAACAGAGTAATGAAAGTTGTAGATTGGAATAGGTTGTGTCGGTTACTCTTAGATGTGGCAGTTTCTGGTTGATGAGTTGTCATGCAGTGATCTTTGGGTGTGTTAACCAACTTTCAACATAACCAGAATAGGTTTAGTGTACAGAGTACCTATTGACTTGTCATTCCATTAGGATTGGGCAAAATAATAAAAGTAAAAGTTGACGGTTGTCCAGCTAAGTCATGAGTTGTAAAAACCAAAGTAATGTATCTTATCAGCCTTTCTCTACCCACTGTTGGACATAGCCCTTCCCCAATATATTAGATTATCCCAGTTATAACTGGGAAATTTCTTAGTTAATGATCCAATTTAATATATTGTTTTGTATTCAAGAAGATTTTTTATCTGGTCTAAATTAGACAAATATAGGTTCCCAAATGTCGAGTTTACCAAATTTTGTATTAGTTTTACGTTGTTGGAATGGGATTTAGTTTTTTTTTAAATCCAACATCATATATGGGGTTAGAATTTTGTTTACGGGGAAGAAAATAAACAGAAAACCTATGTTTAACAACTGTTGAAAAACTTTTAACAAGTAGCACTGAAAATACAATACTAGTTATAGGTGTGTGTGTGTGTTACCAAATATATAATAGC